GGCTTTGCCCCGGCATCTGAGCCGCCACAGTGCTGCAGGGAGCTCTGCGGCCTGACACGCTGCCTACCTCTGGAGCCCCCGGTTCTGCTGTCCGTGTCGGAAACGGCCCCGGGTCAGGGCCCTGCTGACTGCACCAGGGTAACAGGTGCGGTACACATAGGCCTACACGGTGGGAGACCAGGAAGGCACCCGTGGTGAAGGGGAGGCAGGACAGCGAGCCGGCCCGCAGACCTGCAGAAGGAAAGGGAACGGCAGCGAGGCCGAGGGGCCGGGCCCATCCCAGGGGCCCACTGGCCAGGGATTCTGACAGCCACACCGTCCCCAGCTGTGAGTGGATCCGGTCCCCACGTATGAAACAGGTCAAAGCGAGCTATTTGGGTTGAAATTGGGGGTGGGGGTCGCCAGAGCATCTTCCTGGGGCCCAGAGAAAGGAAATGGTGTCCCTGGAACCAGGCAGAACGTCACCCAGGCCCCACCCCCACTTAGGGCTCTGTGGGCCCAGCCCGCGGCTGCCCACCTTGCAGCGGGGCCTCCCCCTCACATCGCCCAAGAGGCAGCTCCCTTGTCCTGGAGGGGCTGCCTCAGCCCCACAGGAACAGGAACAGGAACAGGGACCGGGGTGTGTGGCAGGCCCACCCACCGCCTGCCACAGAGGGTACCAGCCACGCTGTGGGCCCTGGGGTTCTGACACCCTCACAGCCCCCTCCAGGGGCAGGCAGGATGGGGACTAGAGCGGGGAATATGGAGGCAATAGGGGAGGTTGGGGTCGGCCTTTGCTGGGCCGACGACCTGGTGTCCGAGGCATCGGACCCTTCCCGCTCAGTGACCCCATTCACAAAGTGAGAAAGCAGGAGTCCTGGCGTTGGGGCTTGCTGAGGGCCTCAGCCATGGTCCCCAGAGTAGGGCGGTCTTCCCAAGGCTTCACTGAGATGAGGATATGGATGTGTCCTGCCGCCCTGGCAGCCTGGCTGGCCGTGACCAAGAACCTCAGGGAGCATGCCTGGACCCCATCTGGGCAGAGACCCTCATCGTCTGTCCCCTCGAGCAGGGGCCGGAAGCCGTGTGCGGGGAGCAGGCAAGGCAGGGGCACAGGGGTCTGTGGACGGTGCAGCCCCTCCGACCGCTGCGCTGGCCCCGGCAAGGTGTGGGAGAGGTGTGCCAATGTGGGCTCACCTGTGTAAAGGGGATCAGACCCAGAAGGGAGGGCATTCCTCGCTCGTGGCTGCCCCGGGCAGCAGTGTCCGGCCAGGGCCTCTCAGAGGCCGCCTCAGATCCGGGAGATCCCCGAGCCGGCCGCTGCATCCCCTGCTCACCGAGACCTGCAAAGACCGGCTTTATGTGGGGCACATTCGTCTGGGCACTGTGGCCCAAGGGCAGAGGGGCCAGGGGACCAGACAGCCCAGGCGTGGCCTCACCACACCGAGTCGTAGCCTATGGAATGAATGACAAGGAGGTGGGTGCCCTGAGCTCACAGACTTTGGAAGACGGAGGCCACCGGCCACAGAAGGAGCGGGAAAGAGCAAGGAGCAGCCAGGTCCCCGTGAGAGTGACGGCTGCCTTCGGCCTCCAGCCGCTCTCCGACAAGGACTGGCCAACACGGCCCGCAGGAGAGCAGTGAGGCCCCACCAGGCGAGGGCACTGCTGGGCCTGGAACCGCCAGGGGAGCGTCCCCAAGCATGCATGGACATCTGTCCTGGGGCAGGCCCCAGCCACCAGACACACACTGTCCAGCTGACATGGACTCCGGGGATAAGTGGCTTTTCCAGAGGGGTGTGGCCAGGTCAGTGGGGTGGCAGTGGGGGCAGAGGCCCTGGGAACAGGATCGGGGGCGGGATGCAGGCACAGAGGCCAGCAGGTCAGGAAGTCACTGAAAGCCACTGGCCAGCCAGTCCCTGCAGAGCCACCTGCCCTCCCAGGAAGGAGGGTCGGCCAGCGCCTCTGGTCCCGGGAACGCTGCTCCTCCATGGCCTTTGCTGGGAGCAGTGGCCCAGCCCCTGAGGCGCAGCCCAGGGCAGCAGAGCCAGCTGGGGGCCCCCCCCGCAGCACAGGTCGGGGAGGGGAGGACCAGCTAATGAGTTCCAGGAGGTCAGCTGTGAGGGGCCCCCAAACCCATAAACCCTTTATTGGTGTCTCAGGAGGGGAAACCCGGATGTGGCCGTTTATTTATTTTGGATTTCACTTTTCTCTTCTCTTTTTAACATGCACTTCCAGGAGTGTAGCTGGATTTTTAAAGAAACAGGACTTCCTTTTTCAGTGGAAGTGAACTCTTTGTTTTTCTCACCCTGAAGAAGAAAGGAGTCCTTATTTTTGTAACGCTGTCCTCCTATCACTGACCGAATAACTTCCCCGGCAAGACAGGGCCACCACGGCTCCGGGCTCTGCGGGACCAGCCCCAGGAAGACACAGAACGGAGGGCTGGCCTGGAGGCCGGGGCCCCTGCCCCGCACAGCACCCACGGGGCGGGCATAGCAGGGCAGAGGAGGGAGCCTGGTTCAGAGAAGGGCCTGGGTTCTGATCCTGCCCCAGCTGCTGACAGGCCCATCGCTGGCCCAGGGACTTCCAAAAGGAGACCATCCCTGTCAAGCACCCACAAGGTCATGACCTGGGGCGGCAGTTCCTTCCTCCGCAAGGATCACCCACAAGGGACAAAAGGAGCCCCTACCAGACTTCCCGTTGAAAATGTTTGCTTCCTCGGTCACATGATATTTAACCCCCTGCTCCGTGACTGGCGTGGTGGGGAGGGTCACCAAGAAGGGGCTCTGCTTGGGCAACTTGCAGCTCCAAGGAAGACAGATGGTGGGCACACAGGCTTGCTGGGATGGGGGTCTGTGAGTGGGCAGGGACTGGGAGCTGGCTGTGGGGGCCTGAGTGCAGGGGACCGAGGCTCCGTGAGGCAGGGGGATGCCAGAGCCAGGCCACCCTGTGCTCCTCCTTCAGTCGCCTCCCTGGCTGCAGGGCCTCCCCCAGCCCCAGCCTGCTCTCAGGGGACCCAGAGCCCTCCAAGTGCTTGGAGTGGTGGCTGGCCTGACCCCACACCCCTACCAGGAGACTACTGCAAGTTCTGCTGTCTGGGCTCTTGCAGATGGAGCAGGAGATGCTAAGGAAGGAAGGGGACACGGCCCGGCCAGGGGCCAAGAAGGAATGACTGCAGCAGGACGAGGACAGGGCTCTGAGGCCGAACCAACAGCTGCAGGTCAGCTGGGCTGGTGGAGCTTCCTGCGCCCCGGGCTGGGGGGTGGGCCAGGGGCAGGGAGTGTCCAGGTGCGTGTGGGTCTCAGAAGGGTGCCACACACACCCCCCACGAATGTGCCTACGCAGATGGGAAGGACGGGCTGGACCGTTCCTACACTGCTCGGCCCCAGACGACAGTGGGGTCTACCAGGGTCACACCTCAAGTCACAGGCAGAGGTGGAACCAGGACCCAGGGCTGATGGACCTCTCCTGGTCTCTCCGAGGCCCCATAGGGGTGGTAGCACGGTCGAGGGACCTCATGAGCCAGGCACGGACCAGAAGAGGGAGACGTGTGAGAAGCACCGGGTCAGGCAGGCCTGTGGGCAAGTCCAGGGGCTGCCCCTGTGTGGGGTGGGGACGTCTCCTCTTCCCCTGCTGGGCAGACCCCTACCTCCGCACAAGGACTTGGCACGAGGAGCTGGGGCAAGAGTTGGGCTGTGAAGCCACCGGAACCCCCCGGTGCAGCCAAGCAGAAACTAGGACCACTCTCCACTTCCATCCGGTCACTCCCACCGCTCACTGAAGGGCAGAGCGAGGATCCTGGGCCAGGTCATCACCCTCTCTGTGTCCTTAAGGGGAGTGGTGGGGACAGTTCCTGGGTCAGAGGTCACTGTGTCCAGTAGTGCCTGGCACGTGGCTGTTGGAGCAGAGGTGGTCCCTGCACCTGTCCTTCAGAGTCAGGAGGGGAGAACAGTGGCCTTGGGCATGGACCTGCCCTGCCCTCCCCCCCCAGCCCTCCCCCCACGCACTTGCTGGAGCTGACCCTTGGGCTCTGAGCCGTCAGACACCTGGGAGCCCTCAGGTCAAAACCCTCATTTTACAGCTGGGGGAACTGAGACCCAGAAAGGTAAAGTGACCACCCAGTGTCACCCCCAAGTTAGTGTCCCTAACCCACCGAGACCCATGTGCCAAACTTAGAAGCCAAAGAGCACGTATTTCCTTATCATCCTGAGTGCTTTCGTGGCCTGAATGGAAGGCGGTCTGTCCTGCAGGCACGCAATGGCCTCAGTCCCCAGGACCTGCACATGTGGGTGGCGTCCCTTTCTGGCAACCAGTGAGCCCGTCCGCCTGCCCGATGTTTCCCTCCCACACACGCCCCCTCTCCTCAGGAGCCACAGAGCTCCGCACAACCCCATGCCTGGGGGCCCTGGCCGCAGGGTCTGCCCACCCCACCTGAGCTCCTGCCCCATCCCCAGGTGGCCAGTCTGAAGAAGCAGCTGGACCAGGAGGTGTCTCGGCAGCAACAAGCCTGCCTCAGCCAGGCCTCCCGGCCCAAAAAGTGAGCCCTGCTGCCCAATGCCCCCGGGTGGCCTGCCCACCACAGCCGAGAGCCGCCGGGGCCAGCAGAGCCCCCGCCAGGAGAACAGAGGCCCCGGGCTGTTCATTCACAGCCCGGAGCCCACCACTCCTGCCCCAGGGACCCTGTGTCGGCAGGTGCCCTGCAACTCCACTGAGCACAGAGCTCCCCCCGGCCC